CAGTTTAGATCAATTGTCCTATAATAATCCAGTTCTTGCCACTAATTTTGTAGAACATTGACATACTTGGTCACAGTTTTCGATCCTTGCTTTGCCCCTGTTGTGTTGATCTTGATATCATATATGAGAGCTGCATCTTTGACCTTCGAATACGTTTGATAGAGAGCATCTCAGATTGTCTTTGTTGTTAGCAGAAACATGCATGTGTCACTAATCTCCAACGTCATGGAATTCCATAGCCAAGACATAATCATTGAATTTTCTATTTCCTATGCTTTTACACCAACAGTTCCGGTTTCTGGTCCCTGCTTCAGTAAATGACCTAACTTTCCTTTTCCTTTCAAAAAGGTTCGAACCAATTGAGACCACTTCAAATAATTTTTTCTTTTTATCTGTACACTACCTGAATATTCTGAAGCTTTGTTGTGGCCCGGGTAATATGTTCATCCTCAACTATCAAAGGTGTTTGAGCCGAAGTTATGGTATCCGCCATGACTAAATATGATCGAACAATCCTAAAGAATAATAAGGGTAAGCGTCAAGGTTCAACAGTGAAGACTGAGAGAGAAACCAACGATTGAGATTGAAAGAGAAGCCAGCTGAAGTTCAGCAATGAAGGCTGAGAGAGAAACCACCAATTAAGGCTAGACTTGCGATGATGGTCGGCTGTAAGTTGCCCTAGTTTTTCCAGAAATCCTAACCTTACGGCTCTGATACCATGAAAAATACTAACATTGTATTATTATTTTTCTGTATATGTACAGGCTATCCCCTTCACTATATATATATATACTTTCTGTTACACAAGATTAGGAAAGAATCTGGGGTTAATCAACCAATCTCCTAAACTTTAGGATCTGATTACTACCCTTAATTTCCTATCCTAAAAATCCTCCTATAATAATTCATCCATGATTTCCTACAATTATCCATTCCCAATTTCATAATAATGGTTTAAAACCTATAATTATTCTACTTTTTAGTCAATGCATTTGCAAGTTGTGAAGCAGTGATATATAAAGTGTGTATATTGATCCACTGTTTAGTTTTTCTTTGATGAAGTGTCAATCAACTTCAATTCACTTGGTTCTATCATGCTGTATTGAATTATGAGCATGTAACTGCTAACTTATTGTTAGAGAAGATTCTCATAGTTCCGTCCCATTCAATTCTTAAGTCTTTTAGAATTCTTTAACAATAGAAGTTCACATACTCCTTTAGCCATGGTCCTAAATCCTAAATCTGCACTAGACTAGTCTATTATATTATGTTTCGTACTTCTCCAAGTAATTAGGTTCCCTCCAAGGAAGATACAATACCCAATAGTCGATCTTTTGTCCACTAATGATCCGGCGTTTTTCATATTAATGTAGGCCCGAAGAAGTAATTTATTATTTCTTTTATACATGATTTCTTTCCTTGGTGTACCCTTTAAGTAGTGGAATATTCTATAGACAGCATTTAGGTGGATTTCTTTGGGGTTGTGCATGAATTAATTTATACACTTATTGCATAGACAATATTTAATCGGATATGCAACAATTATCCAGGTAACCTTTAGCACGTTTGTCAAACATTTGTGTCTTCTTTTGTCTATCGTAGTTTTGGGACAAGGGGCCAACAAGCTTGCATGCCAATTTTCTTCCCAGTAATATTTGGATACATGGTTTTGAAACAAGAAGACACGTGTAGTGGTGAGCAAATGACTATTCTTTTTTTAAGCTATTTTGTTTTGTTGTATAATATAGACACATAAGGACTTATGAACAATCATTTCTTTTTAAAAAGAGAAAGATAATGTTTGGTTAAAATAGTCTTAGGTACTATCAGTGCGTAAATATTTAATTATTACCCTAAACTATACTTCTATCATTGTGTAAAATTAAGGAATAATATGACTAAACTCAATTTTAGATTTCAATAAGAAAAACTAAGTTATCTGAGGACAATCATCAATAAAAGAAATAAATTTATTTCAAAAATAAAAAAAATAAATAAAAGAAATAAATCATCTAATCCAAAAATATTAAAAACATCTAAAGGACCCCAAATCTCACGATGGATCAATTGAAAAGGAAAATTGTTTCTTTTATTGCTAGGAGAAAAAATTACACGTATACATTGCAATTTGAGTTTTCATTATTGTAATTGAAATATAAAGTTGGAAATATAACCTTAAAGGTAGGAAAAGAAGGATGTCCTAGTCTTTTGTGGTAAAACAATAACTTATTTAATATGCTGATAGAGAGAGCGACACATGATATTTCGGGTGTGTCCAAGATGTACAATCAGTTTCGAGCCTTAATATGTTCAATCGTTATCCTCGAGTTTTTGTCTTGAAATTTGTAAAAAAATGAGTTAAATCATTTTACAATTGAGGTCATAGAACAATTTGGTTTCTGATATGAAATTGGTACATAATTTGGGGATATAAGTACATTAATAAAAGTACACATACACATTGCAGTTTGAGTTTTCATTATTGTAATTGAAAAATAAAGTTGAAAATATAACCTTAAAGGTAGAAAAAGAAGGATATCCTAATCTTTTGTGGTAAAACAATAACTTACCTAATATGCTGATAGAAAGAGCGACACATGATATTTCAGGTGTATCCAAGAACTACAATCAGTCTCCAGCCTTAATATGTTCCATTGTCATCCTCAAGTTCTGGTCCTAAAATTTGTTAAAAACAATTAAATCACTTTACAGTTGAGGTCGTGGAACAATTTGGGACTTTTAGGATGTTACTTCGTGTTACGTGATGGAGAATACTGTAAAATTCTATATTTAATCTTCAATGGGAAGAATATTTCACCTTGTGGAGGAGCACAATAGAAGATGTGTTTCTGTGAGAAAATTTTGATTAGGATCTTGAGGAGGAACGCACAAAGAGATGAAAGATACTGTGATTGGGTATCAATTGTAAAGAAAAGCAGTTAACAAAGCTAGGCTTTCACTTGCTCTTGAGAATTAATGCAGCAAGATGAAGGATACCATGCCAGAGGGGTTAGAGCTCCATTTTATGACCAAATTGGTTGTTTAGTGACTTCAACCATGTGTTGATCTTTATGGGAATCTTGAGAATTAGTACAGCAAGATGTAGTATCTTTATGCCAAAGGGGTTGTGGGACAAGTTGAATAACAATTACTGGCTGAAGTTAGCCAACCAATTGTGTGTAAAATGGACCTCTGCACTTTGAAAATGGATGAGGCAGCTAATCTTTGTGCTCATGTGCTAATCTTGATGAATATGTTAACTCTTTTAATCAACTAGCTCTTTGCCCAAGTCACATAAATTACTGTTACAAACACTTTCGACTGGTAGAACATTGTTCCAGCTTAATAATGTGGTTACTCAGCTAAGGAGCATGAGAGGATTGTGGAAAAGGAGAGAGTGTCCAATAGGGAGAAAGCATTAACAGTTAGATAGAGTTCGCATCAAGAGAGGAATCATTGAAGAAATAGGGTGGCCACATAAAAATTTTCAGCCTGAGAGAAGTATTATTACCATGAGGAGAGAGGTCAGAGTCACAGGATTTGCCTTGTCTTTAGAGAGGATGTGAAAAGTTTTAAGTAGCTGCGTGAGAAGAGCAAAGGAAAGAAGAAGATTGTAGAGGATTTTGACAACTAAGCAATCTTAGTTTAAAAACGTTTTCGTAAGAAAGAGCGCTGTGGAGGTGTTTCTAGTTAAGTGATGGATTATATTGGCCATCTGCATGTTTGTAGGGAGAGAAATTTTTTTGTTACTTTTTGCATTGTGGAAACATTGACCATGTTTGCTAATTGTGAGAAGTTAAAGATTGAGGGTGTTGGGGTAGCGTGCCTTGATACTTACAATGGCATCATCAAGATGTTTGCCACTGGGAGCTACATAACTGACTACTTGTAGCAAGGATGTTATTTCACTGGGAGAATTGGTTTGTCGAATGTATTGGTATATATTGGTTAATATGACTGGTGCAAAGTGAACAGAAGTGAAGAGTTAATTTAGCAAAAGAAGGAGAAACTGCCATCACATTCGCATTTGTTAGTTGAAGAGTTCCACTGCAAGGAAACTTTATTCTCTCAGCATTCATGAAGGAGGGTTGAAACCTAAGGAAAAAATGTATTCCTTTTGCTTATGAGGTTGTAATATTGGGGATATTGAGTCCAAGGAGAATCCATTATAGGGCTTTTTGCTTCCTAATGCTAAACTAGGAGGAATTTTTTTTATAACTGCTAACGATTTAATAACTATTTTTGTAGT